ACCACAGTCTTCCCCTTGCGCAGCAAGGGTGAGGTCACTGAGGTGTTGATCGACTGGATCCGCGGTGCTCGTCGCCAGCTCAGTGAGAGTTTCGGCTCAGACCTTCCTGTTCTGCGCCTGCACTCGGACAGAGGCGAGGAGTTTTCCTCCGACCTCCTGAGGGCCTTCTGTCGTTTGGAGGGCATCCGCCAGACGTTCACGCTTCCAGCCTCCCCGCAGCAAAATGGGATTGCTGAGCGCCGCATTGGCATGGTCATGGACGTCGCTTGTACGTCCATGATCCATGCGGCTGCTCCCCATTTTCTGTGGCCGTTCGCGGTTCAGTACGCGGCGCATCAGATCAACCTTCAGCCTCGTGTCTCCTTGCCGGAGACCACACCTACTCTGCGGTGGACGGGGAAGGTTGGCGATGCGTCCGCGTTTCGTGTCTGGGGATCTCGAGCTTTTGTCCGCGATACTACTGCGGACAAGCTGTCCTCCCGTGCCGTTCCCTGTGTCTTCCTTGGCTTCCCTCCTGACGCACCCGGGTGGCAGTTCTACCACCCCACCTTGCGTTGTGTTCTGTCCTCTCAGGACGTCACGTTCGACGAGTCGGTGTCGTACTACCGTCTCTTTCCCTACCGCACTGCCTCCCCCCCCCCTCCGCCGCTCTTCCTCGCACCAGGTACTCCCCTGGTAGACCCCCTCCCCCCCCCAGGGTCCTGTCCCCTCAGGTGTGTCCCAGGTAGACCCTGCCGAGCCGGTCGAGGTAGCTGTCGACTCAGGTGCTGCTAGGGGTGCTGAGACTGGGGGTGCTGAGTCTGGAGGTGCTCTGGGTGTCCCGTCGCGGCGGGAGCCCCTCTCTCCACAGCGGCTTCGTGAGTGGTACTCTCGGCGCTGTCGAGGTGCTGCTGGTGCTGGAGCTGCTGGAGGTGCTGGAGGTGCGACAGGAGCTACTGGAGGTGCTGGCGCTGCTGGAGGTGGTGCTGGTGTTGGAGCTGCTGGAGGTGCTGCTGGTGCTGGAGCTGCTGGAGGTGCTGCTGGTGCTGTAGGTGCTGGAGGTGCTCCTGGAGCTACTGGAGGTGCTGGCGCTGCTGGAGGTGGTACTGGTGCTGGAGCTGCTGGAGGTGTTGCTGGTGCTGTAGGTGCTGGAGTTGCTACTGGAGCTACTGGAGGTGCTGGTGCTGCTGGAGGTGGTGCTGGTGCTGGAGCTGCTGGAGGTGCTCTGTCTCTGCTGTTTCTCGAGGCGCTACGCGGCCGCGGCCGTACTACGTTCCCCTCCTTCAGCAGGTTCTTGGATCCCCGCCTTCTCCTGGTCCTCCTCCTCCTTTCCTGAGTCCACCGCCTGTCCAGTCTCAGTCGCAGTTGCAGCCGGCCCCTCCCCTGCCTGGTCCTTCTCCTTACTCTGGTCCGACTAGAGGTCTTACGGAGCGTCGTGAGCCTGAGTCGCGTCCTGTGTCGCCTGCGTCTCGTTCTGCGTCGCCTGTTCGCACTGTTCACGCTGGTCGTGTGTCGCGTCCACGTCTTCTACCTGTCCCAGGCACTCACTCTATGACACTGCGTCCTTCTACTGCTTCACAGCGTGTCCCTCTGCCCTCTCCTCCTGCGTCCTCTCTTCCTGACGGTCCGGACCCGGAGTCTGACTCCCTTCGTGCTGCTAGTCCTACTGTCACGCGCTTTCTGGCCACTGCTGTCACTGACCCTCTGTTTGAGTCCTCTGCTGCGTCTGCTCTTGTTGCTGAGCTTGTTGACTTTGCTGCAGCCTGTCGCCTAGATTACGCCACTAGTCTTGTTGCTGTGTCTGCGTCTGTCTGTCCTCCGTCCGTCGGGGGTGAGTGTGCTCTTGGCACGGACGTTCTTGAGGACAGACAGGAGGAGTTTGAGTGCTTTGCCGCTGCTGTACCTCATCTCGTATGCTGCTTGCCCCTGAGGGAGACCCGGATGCACCAGACATCCCGACCCCGCGCTCTTACGCAGAGGCGATAGAGGGTCCCTACTCCTCTCAGTGGCAGGCAGCCATGGACGCAGAGATGGCTTCCTGGAAGTCCACAGGCACCTACGTAGACGAGGTTCCCCCACCTGGGGCGAACATCGTCAGTGGCATGTGGATCTTCAGGGTGAAGCGGCCGACGGGTTCTCCGCCTGCCTTCAAGGCGCGTTACGTTGCACGTGGCTTCAGTCAGCGACAGGGAGTTGACTTCTTTCAGACCTTCTCCCCTACCCCGAAGATGACCACTCTTCGGGTACTGCTGCACGTTGCTGCTCACCGTGACTACGAGCTCCACTCGCTTGACTTCAGCACAGCCTTCCTACAGGGCAGCCTGCACGAGGAGATCTGGTTGCGCCGCCCACCTGGCTTCACTGGGTCGTTTCCTGCTGGTACCCAGTGGAGCCTCCGGGGGCCAGTCTACGGTCTCCGCCAGGCGCCCCGTGAGTGGCACGACACGCTCAGGACGACTCTTGCTGCTCTTGGTTTTGCTCCTTCCACTGCTGACCCTTCTCTGTTTCTACGCACTGACGCTACTCTGCCGCCGTTCTACGTTCTTGTGTACGTAGACGACCTTGTCTTTGCTACTGCTGACACGGAGGCACTCGCCCACGTGAAGTCCGAGTTGCAGAAGAGACACACGTGCACAGACCTGGGTGAGCTCACAAGCTATCTTGGCTTGCGGATCACCCGGGACAGAGCACAGCGCACCATTACCTTGACTCAGTCACACATGGTGCAGCAGGTCCTTCAGCGCTTCGGCTTCACCTACTCCTCGCCACAGTCCACTCCTCTGCCTACCGGTCACTCGCTCTCAGCTCCACCCAGGGTCCACCCACTCACGTGCTCCTTCTGGTACCCCACGCTCCTGATTGGCACCGACTGAACGCCCGTTTGATCCACGGTGGTGGTGGCAAGCATCTCAAGCCAGAGCGGCGTCTGGTCGGCATTAATAGTCCACGTGGTCTCGATGCTGCGCTCGCGACACTTGTCATGGACGAATTGCGAGAACCTTTTGCACTGCTCCTCGACATCTGTGAAACGGTGGAAGAGGTGGGAATACTGACGGTATGGGTTAGTACATAACAAGTACAAATACAAACCAAAAAACAAGGTGATTCTTTCGGGCGGCGGTTTTCTGGGCAACCTTCGTCTTCATGCGCACGCTCAGATTCAACCGCCGCCGAAACCGGTCCGACCACCTTTGGCTCCCTTTCCACTTCAAAAGGGGGTAGAGATTCTTCATGAAATCTCGCGACCACTCCTGCAGGCGGCCGACGGACACGGCAGTTCCGTTGCGGCGCCAGTCGAGCAGCTTCTCGTACACCTTAATCTCCATCGGCCGGTACCACGACGCCCTTCCGCAATTGTGCATCGCTTCCGTGCAAAGTGGGCTTCTTTGAGGAAATCCGCAGCTCGCTTCCAGTTCGTGAGACACTTGCAATGGATGCCACTCTCGCGAGCCAAAGCGCGCACCGACACCGCCAAATCCAGCCGCGCGACCCACTTCAATTTCTCGGCGGCAGTATAGGCCTGACTCTTGTGCTCGTTGAGCTTGTGCCTGGGAGAGTGGGGGCGAGCATCACGGTTCTGTAAAGAAGGGTGGGGTCGCTTGCGGCTAATAGGAGGATAAGATGGTATCGGAAGTCTCTTGGGAAGCCCGTCGCGTGACCAGTATTCGACGCCGTCGTCGTCGTCGCCGCCCAGAGCACCCTCGGGAAACACATCCTTAGCTGTGCTAGCCTCGGTGCCACCCTCCGTGCCACCCTTGGCGGCGTTGTCGTGCTCAGCGCACCACTCTTCCTCGGCGTCAGCCGTCGTCAGCGTCGAGTGCAGATTCGTCCCACGTGCAATCGTCAGGTTGTCCCCAACGTGGTGCCGGGGCCGGAGCTTCTACTTATTCATCTGGGGCCTTGTTGGAATCCGGTTCCGAGAGGTACTCGTCGAACACAGATGGGAGCAGGAGCGTGAGCACGGGCTGATGGCCCGTGAGCCGAGGAGACACCGGATACGAAGGAGATGGAGGAACAGGAGGAGCAGGAGGCGCAGGAGGAGCAGGAGGAGCAGGCGGCACAGGAGGCCTTGGTCGCTCTGTTTGTTCTGGTGGGATACGGGAATACCACTCGTCAGCGTCAACTCTAAACGCGGGCCTACTGGTTGGTTTCTTCTTGAACAAGAAGTGGGTGCCGGTGAATTCCGCCATGGCTTTCGCAACCTGTCGGGCGAGAAGTGGAAACTGAATGAGAAACTGGAAGAATGGGTGAAGAAATGAAAGATTGGAGGAGACCCCTTCGGGGTTAGTGCCTCGGGGTCCTCGTCAATGAAAGAGGGGTACCCCCCTGCCTGAATCCGCAAAGGAGGGTTCATGACACCATACATGCTGCGCTGGCAGGGCATATTCCACCCCCTTCTAGAGGGTTCGGATGAAATGCTCCTGCCTGGCAGCGCATGACAACCTAATTGGGCCGCACGGCAGGTTTCGCGTCAGCGCTGGCAGGTGCGTTGCTCCGGGACTGGTTTTGTGCGGTGGGAAATCGAATCGCGGCAAGTTTCGCCGGGATTCTATGCATGATCCCATGCGCACGTTGCACTGCTGTATTCGCCTCATTGAGGGCTTCAGTTTGGTACCTTTAAAACCAAATTTCTTTTTTACCATTATAAAAGCGCCGGCGCTAATGGCCATTACTCAATTACAAGCGCCCCCCCAAAAAATAATTTATTGTAAGCGCATATGCGCCACTATTCGAGGCCAGACGGTATGACTACATATATATAATTATTGTTATGTTAAATTACCCATTGTGGCACTCATGTTTTTGAAGCAGCAATGCACATTTTGGTGAGCCATCTCCCGCATACTAGTACTAGAGCTGCTCTGGACTGGTCGAAAATGATGAACTCATTCCCACATGAGGTGAAGCTTGATGCCTTACGGATTGAAAAAAGTCACCTCTCAAACAACCTGATCAGGATTCAGGACAGGACTTGGAACTGCACGAGCCAAGAATAATTTACTGAATCGTGTTGCGGAGCTTTAGTAATATTTGGCCTTCTCTATTAACGACTGTTGCTGCGTTTCTTTTCTATTCAAAGCACCCTCATCATCACAATCATCCATTGTGCCGTCGCGGAATGAAACTCGTCTACCCGACCCCCGTTTGCCAGACAAGCTCCTACCTATCCTTGCACCACCTGAACTACTACCTACTGCCTGCTGCAAATCCCCAGCCGCCCCCTCATCTCCTGCCATGCCATCGCCCCCTTCATCCCTGCTCTCTGCATGCAGCCTTTTCTGGCCCAGCCCGTGCTCTGGTGAGCGCTGCCTCAGTGTGGAGTGTGAGGGGGAAGCATGGGGGGATGACGCCTGCATGGAACGACGTACCATCGATGCTGATACACCAGCCGCTGCAGCGGCAGCAGCCGCACCAGGAGCAGCCGCACCAGGCGCAGCAGCAGCACCAGGAGGAGGAGGAGGTGCAGCGGCAGCGGCGGCGGCATGAGCGTTGTGGGAGACAAGAAGGGCCATAATGGAGCGCATGTCGTTGTGCACGCCCGCCATCATGCCACGCACCTCGCTCTGTAAGTCCATCACCATGCCCCTCAACTCCTCCACTGCCTGCTCCTGCTCCCGCACATGCGTGCAGACAGGGGTGGGGGATGCGTGGGGATGGAGGGCACGACTTGGGATTAAAGACGCATGGGCCAAGAAGAATCGATGGAATCATGTTGGGGGAACTCTAGTAATACTTGGCCTCTTCTATTAACAACTGTTGCTGTGTTTCTTTTCTATTCAGAGCACCCTCATCATCATCATCTATTGTGCCGTCGCAGAACGAGACCCGTCTACCCGACCCCCGCTTGCCAGTCAAGCTCCTACCTATCCTTGCACCACCTGATCTACCTACTGCCTGCTGCAAATCGTCCCCTTCATCCCTGCCCTCTGCGCTCAGCCTTTTCTGGCACAGCCTGTGCTCAGGCGACCGTTGCGTCAGTGTGGAGTGCATGGGGGAAGCATGGGGGGGTGGCTCCCGCTTGGAAGGACGTACCATCGATGCTGATACACCAGCAGCAGTGGCACCAGGCACAGCGGCACCAGGAAGAGGAGGACCAGCAGCAGTGTCGGCAGCGGCAGGACCGGCGGCGGAGGCGGCAGAGTTGTGGGAGAATAGAAGGGTCATGCGCCTGTCGCTGCGCACGCTGGCCATCATGCCGCGCACCTCGCCCTGCAGCTCCACCACCATGCCCCTCACCTCCTCCACCGCATGCTGGCTCCGCACCACCTCCTCCTGCGCGCCCCCCAACAATGGGATGCGTGGGGACAGGGGGGGATGCGTGCATGGGGACATGGGGGATGTGTGGGAAAGAGAAAAAAAGGGATGTTCTGTGCTTGGAAGTGGAACACACAAATGCAGGGGAGCGGGCTTGTCTGCTCCCAGCGGTTAAATAACACTAAGTGTCAATGCTAAGGCGATGGATCTGATTGTGGTTTGATTCGACTTGAAACACATATGATGCCACCTGCACTCCCCTCACCTTGGCATGCACTACACAGAGCGCTTCTACATGCCTTACCGCTTCTTGACTCGACTCACAAGCCACTGCACAAGGAGTGCTACCCAGCCTCACGACCAGTGCCATGGTTATCTCACCTTGATGTGTGACGGACTGCACTTGCAGGTGTTTATTTGGGGATTCTCAAAGAGCGACCATCGCCACGGGTGGGTGTGCGCCAAGCTGAGCTTCTACACAGGCTGAGCTTCTACACAGGCTGAGCTTCTAGCCTGGCAGCAAGCCGCCGATCTTTGAGGCGCCTAAAATCTGCTGCACATCCTCACGACCAGTGCCATGGATATCTCACCTTGATGCTACGGGTAAAGAGACAACTTTTGAGGCGCCTCAAAACTCTTCTTCACGACCAGCGCCATGGGTGTCTCACCTTGATACATGCCAAGCTGAGCTTCTGCACCGGCTTCTTGACTGGCAGGGCCGACTGCTTCACCACCTCCCCACACTGCAGCACCAGCGCCTGCGATAGCTCCTCCATTCCCGTGTCGTGCACGCCCGGGTCCACAGATGAGCATGTGGTGGCAGAACACAATGGGTCGGATGGCTTCATGGCGCTTGGCTGGTGCCCGCGGGATCGCTGTGCAGAGATGGGGATAGAGGAGGAAAGGGCAGGAGCGAGGAGGGAGGAGGCAAGAGAGAGACAGAGTGGAAGTGAGGGAGGCAAGGGATGTAAGATAGCATGTGGCGGAGGTGGGAAATGGGGTGGAAAGAATGTGATTGTGAGATAGAACATGAGGATCGTAATAGATGCGAGGATCGTCATAGATGCCCATACCCACATGATACACGTCAGCACAAGGCATGTCACAGCACATGCCACACAGGTCAGATGCGCCATGCCCCATGCCCTGTGTCTCCGTGCCCCGAGAAGCTCGTATGCACAGCACAGCACAGCACAGCACAGCACAGCACAGCACAGCATAGCAAAGCACAGCACAGCATAGCACGGCACCCCACGCACCTCGCGGAAGAGGCGTCGCTGCAAGATGATGGAGAGGGAGATGGCATTGATGCGCTTCTCTTTCACAGTCAGCACGTGCTGCTTCCGCACCCGAGGCACAGACGCCGCAGGGAAGGCAGGATGCGAGTCTGCACGCGTGAAGTGCGACGCGGAAGCCCTGTGGCCGCTGCCAACCCGGACGGAAAACGCAGAACCCACTCGCTGTCGGATCGACTTGAAGCGGCGCATCAGACGGTCCGCCTGAAAGCACACGTTTGGAGAGAGGTGGTTGCTTGTTTGTTGAGCAGGAGCTGGAAGTCAACGATGCCGGGAGTCAAAGCTGCGGGAGTCAAAGCAGGGAGTCAAAGCCGTCGGGAGTCAAAACTGCTGGGAGTCAAAGCTGCTGGGTGGGATTGTCAAACTATATTTGTTATAGTTTGTATTGTTTAGTCTAGGTGGTGTACATTGCTGTCAGGCCTAGGGTTAGGTCTACTATATCTTTGCTGTATTTTTTCATTCTTGTCATTCATTCTTCCGTTCTTATCTTGACATAGTATAGAGCTTAGTTCGTTCCCATGTGCCCACCGCTTAGCGCCCCGACCGTTACTCGTTTTAGGGTTTCGCCTGTTCGCCGCCCGCTAGCCGCTCGTTCGCCGTACGTTCGTCGTTCGTCCGCCGCTTTGCGCTCCGCGCCCCGTCCCCTAGCGTGCCCCGTTTCCCAGCGCGCCCCGTCACCCCGCAGCCCAGAGCGACCTGTCATCCCACAGCCCAGAAAGCCCCGTCACCCCATAGCCCAGAGCGACCCGTCACCTCGTAGCCCAGAGCGACCCGTCACCCCGTAGCCCAGCACGACCCGTCACCCCGCAGCCCAGTACGACCCGTCACCCCGCAGCCCAGCGCGCGTCGTTACCCCGCAGCCCAGCGCGATCAATCACCCCGTAGCCCAGCGCGACCTGTCACCCCGCAGCCCAGCGCGTCCCGTCACCTCGCAGCCCAGCGCGCGTCACGCCCCGTCACCCCGCCGTCCGTCGCTAGCCCGTAGCCCGTCGCCCGTCACACCCCGTCACCCCGCCGCCCGTCGCTAGCCCGTAGCCCGTCGCGCGTCACGCCCTGTCTTGCCCCGCTAGCCCGCCTGCCCGCCAGTCACCCGCTCGCCCGCTTGCTCGCCCGCCCCCCCCCCTAACCCTAATCCGCCGTCCGCCCGCTCGCGTCCAGCCCGTTCGCCCCACCCGTTCACCCCCCTCCCCCGTAATCCTAATCTGCCGTCCGCCCGTTCGCCCCACGCCCCTCCAGCTAGAAGGCCTCGCGCCCCCAGCTAGAAGGCCCCACGGCCCCCAGCTAGAAGGCCCCGCGACCCCCAGCTAGAAGGCCCCGCAGCCCCCAGCTAGAAGGCCCCGCGGCCCCCAGCTAGAAGGCCCCGCGGCCCCCAGCTAAAAGGCCCCGCGGCCCCCAACTAGAAGGTCCCACGCCCATCCCCCCAGCTAGTAGGCCCCCAGGCCCACCCCCCCAGCTAGTAGGCCCCCACGGCCCCCAGTCAGAAGGCCGTACGGCCCCCCAACTAGAACACCCAACACCCAGTACACACCCAGCACCCCGATCGCACTAGACCGCTATCCGATCTTACCCAACTACTCCTAGCGGCTCGGCCGTCTCTAGCTCCTGCCATGTCGTTCGCTAGAGTTCTGCAGCAGCACGGCTAGCCGCAGCGACAGCAGCTGCAGCACTCCCGGCAGTGGGGACCTGAGGGTCCAAGGAGTACCGGCCCCAGCAACGGCTCAGCCAACAGTGGGCGCGACGTCGGTCCCTGCGGGTACCGGATCCTAACTGGCCCTGGTGCTGGCACTACCTGCTAACGTCCTGACCACTCCGCGTCCCGCTGCTACCGTCGCCTCGGCGACCTTCACCGTGAGCATTTTGGACCTGACGCGATTCTACCTCACTAGCCTTCTCGTTTTCGCCACAGTTTCAATGGACCTGCTGAGTTGCACCTACCTAGTCTAAGACATTTGCCGGCTGCACGAGTAGGGACTTGTTGCGTGTGTAGTTTCTAGCCTAGGTGCCTCTACGGGCCCTTGTGTGGGAGCTGCAGGTACCGCTAGCCTAGTCGCAGCCTTTGTCGATGGCATAGGTATGACCTCAGCGAATGTGCCTCTTTCCTTCACCTTAGACTCTGGGGCGTCCAGTTGTTTCTTCCGTTACTGCACCGACCTTACGCCGCTGCGCACTCCAGTCACTATCGCCTTGGCTGACCCCTCAATGGGACCGGTCGTTGCGCACAGCACCACCAATCTCCCGTGTCCAGTGGCTCTCTCTGGCTTCGTCACATGTTACTACATCCCCTCGTTCTCCAGGATCTTGGTGGGTGTCAGTCGCCTCCACGACCTCGGTGTAGTCACCACTTTCCCTACGGACGAGCATGTCGCCACATGCACAGTCAGTGCCAATGGGGCACCTCTGGCCAATTTTCACAGGGAGTCAAGCTCTGGTCTATACTCCTTACACACTGGGTCCCACCACACTAGGTCGGGTCAGGTCAGGTCAGATCAGGTCAGGTCTGGTCAGGTAGCTACTGTATCGTGCGACTGTCGGTCACTCACCCACCCGTCGGTCCTCTGGCACCACCGTCTAGGTCACCCGTCTTTCCAGCGTCTCAGTAGGATGGTACGTCACCGTCTGGTCTCAGGTCTCCCCACGTGTCTCGCCCTGCTTCCCCACTCGCTTGTGCCACCGTGCACTCCTTGCGTCGAGGGTCGGCAACACGCTGCCCCTCACTCCTCCTCGTTCCCCCCCCCACCACGACTCCTTTAGAGACCCTGCACATGGACGTCTGGAGCCCCTCCTCGGTCCTTGACCCACGTCAGGAGTGCTTTTTCCTGATTGTGGCGGACGACTACTCCCGCTACACCACGGTGTTTTTCTCGAGACGGAATGCCGACGTGCCTGACGTCCTCGAGCTGTGGCTATTAGGGAGAGGTGGCACCCAGGGCCTTCATGGGCTCCGTCTACACTCGGACCGTGGTGGTGAGTTTGCTTTCACTCGCATAGAGGTGTTCTGTCACGTTCAAGGGATCACCCAGTCTTACACGCTACCAGACTCGCCGCAGCAAAACGGGGTAGCTGAATGACGCATCGGCCTGGTCATGTAGGTTGCCCAGATCTCCAAGTGCCATGCCGGTGCCCACTAGTTCTTGTGGCCCTAGTGACGCACGACCACAGTGGACACCACTCTTCCTTTGGGCAGGGTCCCGGGGTGTAGCAGCTGACTACCGCGTTTAGGGCTCTCTAGCTCACGTTAGCGCCCCTAGCGCGAACAAGTTGTCTACTCGCACCCGTCTCTGCGTCTTTCTTGGCTTCCCTCTCGACGCCTCCGCGTAAGCGTTCTACGACCCAGTCACCCACCAGTTCTTCAGTTCTCAGGACGTCACTTTTGACGAGTCGGTCTGCTACTACAGGAGTCACCTCCACCGAGGTTTTGAGGCCTTTTCCCCCCCACTGTTCCTCACCCCTTAGCCCCCCCCAGTCGCCCCAGTAGCCCCCCCTCTTCGCGACCTGACCCGTCAGGTCTGTCGCACGCCACTTCGCAGTCGTCCCCCTGCAGCGTCCAGTCCCTGTCGTGTCTGGGGATGTGGGAGGTGCAACTGCCGAGGGTGCAGGTCCTGGGGCTGCTGGAGCTGGTGGCGCCGGCTGTGGGGGTGCAGGGGGTGTGGGCCAGGAGGCCCCTCTTGTGGAGGACACGGCTGCCTCGAGACGGCGGCCTCGCCCTGTCTCACCCCCTAGCTTCCCGTCAGTTCCGGAGTTCCCTCCTTGTTCGTCTCTGCAGGCGATCGCTACGGAGTCTGGGGGTGTTCTTGCACGAGGTACTGGAGGCCCTGAGGGTGTTGCTGGTGGAGGTTCTGGTTCTAGGGGTGCTGCAACTGGAGGCGCTGGGGGTGGTATTGTTCGAGGTGACATTGGTGGCACTGGTTCTGCGGAGCCTACACGGACTCCCGTCGGTCACTTCACACGTCTGCAGAGTGCTCTCCAGCGGGAGCACCTCGAGTGGTAGCAGCACCAGCAGCAGCAGCAACAGGCGCAGAAGCGGCAGCAGACGCAGCAACAGCAGCAGCAGGCGCAGCAGCGGCAGCAGACGCAGTAGCAACGGCAGCAGACGCAGCAGAGGGTGAAGGAGGAGCCACGGCCGCGTCAGCAGGTCCAGTTGCAGCCGAAGCAGGAGAGGGTACAAGAGGAGCCACACCTGCGGTAGCAGGTTCAGTTGCAGCCACAGTAGGAGAGGATAGAGGAGCGACACCCGCAGCAGCAGGTTCCAAGAGAGGGTACAGGAGGAGACATGGCCGTAGCAGCATGTGCAATTGCAGCCGCAGCAGGAGAGGGTAGAGGAGGAGCCACAACCCGAGCTGCAGGAGCAGCAGCAGGGGCAGGTGCCGCCGCAACAGACGCCAGAGGAGGCCGAGCAGTAGCGAATGAGAGGCCTGCCCAACCCAGCACCTGCACACTTGGTCTGTGGTTTCCTATCGGACCCTCCAGTTTCTTTCCTCGTCCACGTGGTCCCGTCGTGCTCTTCTCAGTCGTGCTATGTCCCCAGAGCCTCGTCGGTCTCGTTACCAGGCGGACGACCCGTTTCACCTTGTTCTCCGCTCTCGTGTTCCACCTCCTCCGGTCCTTCCGTAGCCTCCTGAGTCGTTCCTTACTGTGTCTCCCGCCCCGTTCTCCGACTACCTCCGTGCTGCCCGCCCTATCGTCTCTCGTATTTTGTCCTCGTTGGTGACTCCCGACAGCCCCCCCCCACCCCCCGTTGTCTGTCTCGGCTCTTGTTACTGCTGTCACTGATTTTGCCTCTTCCCTCCGCCTTGACTACGCCGCTCACCTGGTGACTGACCCTGCTCGTTCTCCGTCCTCCTCTGAGGGTGCTCCTGTCTTTCCCCTGGAGGTCCTGGGGAACAGGCAGTTCGAGGTTGGTTTCCTTGCGACCGCTGTTCCTCATCTTTGCGCCATGCTGCTTGCCCCTGAGGGGGATCCAGACGCCCTTGACATCCCGATCCCTCGCACTCACGCCGAGGCGGTCTTGGGACCTTGGGCCTCGTACTGGATAGCAGCTGAGGGGGCAGATATGACATCTTATAGGTCTACAGGCACATACGTCGACACAGTCCCACCACATAGGGCGAACGTCGTCTCTGGCATGTGGATCTACAAAGTGAAATGTCTATCTGGAGCACCACCGGTATTCAAGACGCGCTACACCGCGAGAGGCTTCAGTTAGCAAGAGGATGTAAACTTCTTCCAGACCTTCGCTCCCACTCCGATGATGACCACTCTTCGGGTGTTGCTGTATATTGCAACTCAACGCCACTACGAGTTGCACTCCTTGGACTTCTCTACCACGTTCTTACAGGGAAGCCTGCACGAGCAGATATGGCTACGTCGTCTGCCTGGCTTCACTAGCTCTTTCCCTCATGGGACCCAGTGGCAGTTGTGTCGACCGGTCTACGGCTTGCGCCAAGCTCTCCGCGAGTGGTACGACACGCTTTGCACGACTATTGCAGCACTTGGTTTCTTTCCGTCGTCTGCCGACCTGTCGCTTTTTGTCCGCCGTGGCTTGACCCCGTTCTTTGTTGTGGTTTACGTTGACGACCTGGTCTATGCCACTCCCGATCGCAGCGCACTGGCCTCCGTGAAGGAGGAACTGCAGAGGAGACACACTTGCACTGACCTTGGTGAGCTGCAGCGCAACCTTGACATGCAGATCACCAGGGACAGGGCAGCTCGCACAATTACGTTGACGCAGTCGCATATGGTCGAGCAGATCCTCACGCGGTTTCGCTTCCCCTTCTCCAAGGTAGAGCCCACCCCTCTTGCTGTGGATCATGAGCTTACGGCTCCATCTTCGGACGAGTCGTTTGAGACCAGCGGTCTATATCCTGAATTGGTGGGTTGGCTCATGTACCTGATGACCTGTACTCGCCCAGACCTAGTTTTCTCTCTCATTGTCCTAGCTCGCTTTGTTGCTCCTGGGAGACACCGATTTTTCCCACTGGTCGGCTGCTAAGAAGGTGGCGAAGTATGTGGCGAGCACATCAGGCATGAGACTTGTACTTGGAGGGAAGAAGCCAGTTACACTCACAGGTTACTCGGACTCGTCGTTTGCGGACTGTGGCTAGAAGCTAAGGTCCACACAGGATTACTGTTTCAGCCTTGGGACCGGAGTTGTTTCATGGAGAGCGACTCGGGCGTCGTCCGTCGCTAGCTCCCGCTGTGAGCCAGGGGTGTACGCTGCGGCAATGGCCGCACAGGAGCTTGCTGGCTGTGTTTCCTCCTCACCGACCTTGGTGAGCGGCCTCGCTCTCCCCCAGTCTTGTTCGCTGACAACATGTCTGCTGTCCTATTGTGCAAGGAGTCTCGACTGATTGGGAAGGCGAAGCACATCCAGCTTCGTTACTTTCTTCTGTGCGAGTTGCAGCAACGAGGCCAGGCCCGAGTGGTTCGTGTGGTCTCTGAGGCCAACACTGCAGATATCTTCACCAAGGCCTTGCTGCCTTGTGACCACCAGCGTTTCTCCACCCAGCCAGGCCTTGTACCTGCAGGTTGTCACTTGCTTGCGTAGAGATGCTTTGTCATGTACTCTTCTTGCGTCTTATTATATTTTCTATATATCTGCTTGTGGACTGACCTTGTGACCTCTTGCTTGTTCTTCGACTATGTTGTGACTTTGTGATCCACCCTGAGATTTTTTGCTTGTTGTTGACTGGTCATGTGACCCTTGCTTGCTCTCAGACTGTGTGGTGACTTCGTGATCAACCCTAAGATATGTGTTGCTTTCCACAGGACTGCCGTCACCTAAACTATGGGGCTATGTTGCACTATACGCGATTGGCGTACCAATTGCGTTCAAACTATACGCTCAGGGAAAAGTAGTGTCAGGGGGTGAGTCGTGTTGCCTATGTTCATTGTGTTTTTGCCATGGTGGTTTTTTCCCCACTTATGAATTTTGTTTTCCCCATTACAAACATGCATTGCAAGTACACACACACATACTAGCAACTACTTGTCTGATTCTTGACTCACCCCTCTTGTGGTACTTGTGGACCACAGGCCAGTTGTCACATAAACTAGGTCCCGGAGTTTCTCCGAGCCTAGCTTGTTGCGTCGGGCAGTGAGCACCGACTCCCATGATGCCCACCCGCGCTCACACGGCGAGGCTGACACCGGCTGTGTCAGGGCACGGCTTGCAAGGCTGGCAAGGTGGGGGTGGTCAGTCCCGTGCCATCCCCACCACTGCACCATCGAGTGCTTGTCTGCCTTCACGGCCTGCCTGTCGGCAATTGCCTCAGGGAGGCCGAAGGATCCTTCAAGGGTGAGGAAGGCCGTGAGCCCCTCCTGCAAAACAAGAGAGGCCCGCTTCTCCTCACCGTCTTTGTTGGTGAAGGTCTTGCCGTCGTAGTGACGTGCGATGAACGCCTTGAAGATGCGCGTACATTCCACATCGGTGCGGAATATACCCTCTTCCTGATTTGTCGGGTTCAGGATCCGGCCAACGACGTGAAGAGCGCAAGCGAGGCTCTCGTCCCAACGGCGCCTAACAATCTTCCCTATCTCAGCCGCATCCGCCCGCGTAAGAATCTTATCCCCCGCCTCCAGCTTGGCCATCATGTCCTCGGTCGTCGCCTCCACAGGCAAACGTCGCGCGTTTTCTGTCCCTTCCATTTCGCGAGATGCTGAGCACATCGAAACGCACCACCCTTGAACTCGATGGCGCAATACTTGCAAACGCGGACAGCGCCGACGGTGTCGGGGCGGATCGGAACCTTGAATTGCTTGAAAACGATATGCGTACTATCCTCCTCCTGCCATAGTGCCTCCGAGGTCGAGGCTGACGGATCACTAGTCTGAGTGCTGGGAGATGGGTCTGGAGTAGCCATAGTTCAACAGAGAACAAACGGGAGGCTAGGAAGAACTGGATGAGAATTGTGTTGAAGTGGGGTGAATTATACTTACCACGTAGTGGTTGTGGGGAGGGGGACGTGCTGTGGTTGGTCACGACTTGTTGGGGGTGATTGGGCAATGTTGATGTACGTGGGGTGAACGTGGCGACTCGGTTTTGCACGTCCCATGATTGAAAAAAACGCGAATCGAAATGTCGGTATACGTGCGTACGGAAAGAGCGCGAACTTTTTTTTTTTTTTTGTCTGCCCGGCTTTCTGTATCGCGCATTTGTCCCTGTTTCACGTTTTTGCGTTTATACGTGAACGCATAAACGTGAAACGAATAACACCTTAAGCGTATAGTGCAACATAGCTATGGGGGTGTGTCAAATTAGCTTGTATTGTTTAGTATACGTGGTGTACATTGCTGTCAGACCTAGGGTTAGGTTTGCTATATCTTTGCTGTATTCTCTCAATCTAGTCATTTATTCTTCCGTTCACATCTTGACAGGGATGCTCCTTGGGTGTGTGTGGGTACTCCTTGGGTGTGTGTGGGTGCTCCTTGGGTGTGTGTGGGTTTTGAGACGTCTCAAAACTGTGTGCTCCTTGGGTGTATGTGGGTGCTCGCACCTCGTCCAAGCGTGTGTCCTTGGCGCCCAGGTTCACGAGATGCTGCAGCAGGTGCGAGTACGGCATGTAACGCCCCCACCAGCAGTTCCACTTGTACTTGCATACGTGCGCGATGTCAGATGTGATAGAGGTGGCGACGACATTGCTGTCCTTGACGCTCATGAACGCGTCGACGATGATGGCGATGAGGAAGTTGAGAAGGATGAAGACCATGAGCACAATGAACATGAAGAAGAAGAGCATGGCTGCTATGAGGTCCCAGGACTCGAGGCGCTGGAAGAAGTAGGTGGAGGAGTTGTCGTTGAGGAGCAGCAGGAAGCAGGAGAACATGGAGGTGAGGACCGTGGAGAACTGGCGAGGGTAGGGGAGGGGGAGAGGGAGGGGGGGGACGGAAGCGGAGGAGGGAAGGGGAGGAGGGAAGCGGAGGAGGGAAGAGGAGGAGGCGTCAGGAGGAGGGAACGGGAGGAGGATGAGCCAAGGGGGAAACGGGGGGTGGTGCGGGGGTAGAGAAGAAACGGTGATGCAGGCGACAGTGGGAAAGAAAAGAGTGGACAAATTTAAGAAGCAGTAGGCATCTAAGTTGGTCATTTACGCCATTTCAGCCCACGTACACGTAACGTACGCGTACATGTACGTTTACGTGTACGTACGCGTACGTACGTGTACGTACGCCGGGCAGGTAAAAAAAAAACTCCCCTAGAAAATTCTTTGAAAACGGTTTCCGAAAACCTAAAAAGGAAAAAAGCTTTCGACGACCTGTGCTCTGTTAGCGTGTTAGTACGGCGCGACGTTTTTCAAAGTAGTAATGTAAGAAACAGGAATGTTGCTAGCTAGGGTTGCTATGGTGTGGCGTCTACCCTACGTACTATGTCGACTAAGGCGGTAGAACTACGATAGCTAAGTCTGTCGAGAGAGGGAGGGAGGAAATTGTGGTGGGAATAGATCTGAATGTGTACAAACTGTTCGCGATAGAACATTGCGAACAGTTTGACTCAGATCGCGATTGCTTCGCGCAGCTTCGTCACCGCCAACCTTCACTGGTTTCGGCGAATCCCAACTTCGAGTCAAACCAATTCGCATGATGGTATTATTGTTATTTGGGAAATTACAAGGTTGTAATGGAATGTTTACACTATATGATGGAAATCATGATTACGAGGGAGTACTATAGAAAAAATATACATATTCGGGCAGCCCATAACTTTTTTCACTTGCCCGTACATTAGGACTCCAACCCAACAGCCGCGTAAACGTACGTACCCGTACACGTACGTACGTAAACGTAAACGTAAATGACCAACTAAGGTAGGCATGGGAGCATAGATGAGCAGGCATCACTGCCCCACAACACACCCACCCCACCTGCCCCACATCACACCCACCTGCTCGAGAGCGCCTCCGAAGACGAGGTAGGCGTACATGCTGAAGCAGAAGAAGACGGCAAAGGAGAGCAGGAAGAAGTGCAGTAGCGAGGGCGTGGCGAGGGCGAGCGAGCGCGTGATGACCCCCAGGTAAGGCTGGAAGTCCATGAACTTGAGCAGGCGCACCATCATGAGGAACAGGCTGGGGGAGGGTCCGGGGGTTACGGGGGTGCGGGCGGGGGGTAGGGCGAGGTGTGTTTTGAGGCGCCTAAACCCCAAAACTCCACAGGTATGGCTGGAAGTCCATGAATTTGAGCAGGCGCACCATCATCAGGAACAGGCTGGGGCAGGACGTGGTAGGTCGAGGTAGGTGTGTGTGTGTGAGTGTGCGTGCGCGTGTGCGTGTGTGTGTGTGTGTGTGTGTGTGAGTGTGTGTGTGTGTGTGTGAGTGTGTGTGTGTGCGCGCGCGCGGATGCATGCGCATGCATGCATAGATGAGTGCCAGCACAGCATGCCCATGCCTGCGCCACCTCACATGATGCCTTGGAGGGAAAGTACACGGCACACAGGTTGATGATGTACCGCAGGTCTGGAAACGCCTGCCCCGCGAGCAGCAACCCCGAGGGTGATCTTTGAGGCGCCTCAAACGCACAGCATTCCTGTGCCAGCACAGAATGCTCAAGCTTCACTCACTTGATGCCTTGCAGGGCAAAGTACACGGCGCGCAGGTTGATGATGTAGCGCAGGTCTACAAACGCCTGTGCCGCCAGCATGAACCCCGTGGGCGGGTTGGGCACAGCCCAGTAGCGCGGCATCTCGAGCAGCGAGTAGTAGATGTTGTAGCGCGGCTGCATGTCGAATGCCTCTACTGCCCGCCACAGCACCATCCTGCATCCATGCACGCACGTCGGCCCGCATGGGGGGAGTAGAGAGGAGGAAGGAGGACGATTAGGGGGGAGGTGGACGGTAAGACCGGAAGTGGATGATAAGGGGAGCGGGGCGGGGGGGAGTGGGGAGGGGTTGGGGGGTTGCTTTGGTGCGAGCAAGGGAGAACAGGAAAGCATATAGGTCAAGGAAGCGGAAGCATGAGTTAGGAACGGCCTCCACAAGAAAGTCAACGGCCAAAGCCTTTGGTGCTGGCGGAAAACTCTCTACGAAGAACTATCTTTTGAGGCGCCTCAAAACTCTCTACAAAGAACTATCGTTCTACTGGAGGGCTGCATGGGGTGGGGGTATCTGTAGTGAAACTGGTTTGGTAATGGATGATTTGGCTGCACTGCATCGACATAGAAAATATTGGGCCCTGCTACTCCCAGCATCTCCAAGCAACATGGGCCCCTTGGCGATAATCATACTGCAAGTGTTTTTACCAATATGTATAATTTTAGTCCCGGTGCATTTAGTTCTACGTACCGCCGCTACAGATGACCACCGCTAAAAATCCGCGCAATGCTTGGACAGCCCTTTGAAACCATGAGGTGCTCACCAGATGGCAATGGCAGTGAACTGCAGCGCGAGCGAAAAGAGATCCGCCCAGTTCCACACGAGGCCAAAGTACCCAAGCACAGTGCCCTCCATGCGCACGTGATCCATCATCTCGCATGCCTCACCATACACGTTCCACAGCAGCCCCAGCACGTAGAATATCTCCAGCACCAGGCGCACGGTGTTGGCGGTGGATGCACCGCCGTACATGTGCATTGCTGCTGGCTGGGACTTGACGGTCACGCCTATCTTCCCGCCCGCGTTCACGGCGCATGTCACTGTGGTGAGCACGAACGTGCGCGGGGAAAGGGGGAAGAGAAGAGTGGCAAGATGAAGGGGCAAGGGGATGTGGGGAAAGGGTGGAAGATGAAGAAAAGGGGGAAACGGAGGGAACAGGCAAAACGAGAGAAAATGGGCAGACCAGTTGACAGGGTGTTAGATATAACTAGACTGCACCCAGCAGTTGTAGCTCACGTGTGCTGGGTCGGAGAAAAATAGGAGAAAATGGTTGTAAGCAGTGGAGCAAGCTACCTAGGAGTGGTTGAATGCCACGCAAAATCTCAATCGATGTAAGAAATCTCACTTTTGCTGCACAGCTTGCATGTGGTACTGCATGAGCAAGCTTTGAGTTGAGATGTCTCAAAAGTCACTTCCGCTGCACAGCTTGCATGTGGTCCTGCTTGAGCGGGAAACATGTGGCCTACCGGTTGCGATGCGAGACAAAGCGGGTGACAGCTATGTCTCTCTCAGCAGCAAAGGCGTGGTTGGTTTCGGTGTAGTTGGGGCCGTAGCTGTGCAGCGAGAAGGGGAAGTTGAGGTTTGTTCCCACCGCTGTGGATCGACAGCATGCTGGCAGGACGAGGAGCGAGAGAGAGAGGAGAGTGAGAGGGAGAGTGAGAGGGAGAGTGAGAGGGAGAGTGAGAGGGAGAGGAGAGAGAGGAGAGAGAGGAGAGAAGTGAGACGATGCGGGACACGAGGTTGGAGTTTATGCTGAAGTCACCGAGTTTGTGTTGCGTAGCTTACAGCAGCCGCCGGTACATGCATGACATGACACATGGCGTGCTGGCGACAGCAACAGAAGGGAGGGAGACTACGAGTGTACTCAAGATACCAGAATGGGGGACCAACAAGTT